GCCACATCAGCTCCTACCTGAGTTCCCAGACTGCTGCCCTGTGGAATTCAGACTCAAGACTGCAATTTCAACTCCTGCCTGAATTTCACATCAACCCCTACCTGATTCTCTAGGCTGCGAGCCTGTCCAAAGGATTTCAGACTTGCTATCCTGGCTACGGAGTGAGCCAATTTCTTAAAATAAATGTCTCTCTATAACATATTTCAGCCCAACTGGATTCTACTTCTCTGGATAATTCTAATACACCATTTCAACTTGGGATCTCCCAGAATGACCCGGCTTGAAAAATGAGTTTGCTTTGTTTACAAAGGCAAAAAGTAATAAATGGCTGACCACACAAACCGATGGCTAAAAAGTTAAGGGGAGGTGTGCCCAAGCAGGTATACAATTGTAAAGGGTATTATACTGTAAATGGGGATAAAAATGGGGACTAAACTTTAAAGGTTGTTATGAAGTTTAAACAAGTGGATTATTTAGAACAGTGTTTAGGACAGTTCCACACACCTAGGAAGCACTCAAATGTTTAACTGGCATTAATATTTTTGCCGGCAAGATTATTGTTATTATCTTTATGATTCCAGGTATGTGCTTGTCACATTTGCTCATATAATAATAATTTAGTCCTCATAACTACTCCACGTGACAGGTGTTATATGTTTATTTGGCAAAAATGACAAAGAAAGATTAATTAATTGGTCCAAGGTCACACAGCTAGTAAATGATAAAGGTAAGCATAAATTTAATAGAAATAATAACTATGAGTAGACTTAATCATGATCAGCCCTCTCCTCTTATACATACTTTGAGGAGTTATTTTAATAAGGAAGACAAATGATTGTTTGAGAAGCACTAAGCACACACGGTAAATAATAATAATAATAGAATTATTCCCCGTGAAATATATGGCAACTTATATTTAATTCTTTGGCAAAAACTACAATATGGTTCTGGTATGAATTTATATGCGTTAAACTAAGAATTTAAAATTCAGTTTTTAAAGGTGACCTTTAAATTTTTAGTTTAATACATAAAATAATTTCTTACATAAAGAGCCTAACATTTGCAAATGTGAATTTCCACGCTAAGGTTGAGAACAATATACTACTTGTCTTCTACCACCCAAAAGCATTTGTTTAAAAGCTAAGACACAGTCTTTAAAAAGAGTAGCACATCGCCTCATAAATTAGTGAATCCAAGTATGCCGTATGCCATTTTAAGATCCTTCAACAGTAAATCTTAAATCATTTTTACCACTTAGGGTTATAAATTATATGCAATTATAGGAAATTGGGTCATAATTACTTTTCCCCTAAACTTCAGCTACATTTAAATATCTACAACCATTGAAAGCTCACATAGGTAATCAGTGAATGGTTATATTTAGAAAAGATAGGTGAGCATTTCCAAGAAACCATTTCAATCAATTTACAACTAATGTTAAAATAAAAGATTGAAGATAATTGATCTCTCACCTTGGGGTTTTCCTTGTCTGCTCTCATCAAAATGGTTTGTTAATTGATTATAGAAAATTCTATCATCACCTAGTAGGAGTGTTAAAAGAACATGTACAAGATAACTTTCTCATCAATTAATTTATAGATATGAAAACATAATTACAAAAAGAAATTATTAATCATCATGGCCATTTAGTTATATTCTGGGTCATAGACACAACTCAATACTCAATATGCTGCCATGTTCTAAAAAGAAAACCCCTTTTGTAAATCAGTGATAGTTAGAACAATGATTTTTAAATGTATGTTACAAGACATGCATAATAGGATACTTCTCCATTAAAACCGATCTCATGTTCAATGAACTACGACGTCTATTACGCAAGAATCTTCTCAGAATAAGCCATTTTGGTTTGTTAAAACATACAAAAGAATATACAAGTGATCAAAATGAATGAGTGTTTTCTATTAGCTACTCTCTATATGTGATTTTTTTTTTCTATTTAGGTATAAGAAACAAGAAATTTAGATGGTTCTGGATTCTTTAATATATGCTATTGCAATATAGTAGGAAATACAGGGCTTCTAAATTCTTTTGTGAATTTAAAGCATTAAGGCCATGTCATTACCCCCTGCAAAACACACACACACACACACACACACACTATAAAAACATTATTCTGGAAGAGAGTCAAAAGGTTATCTAGGTCGTTATCCCTCTTTGGAGAACTCTGACTAATCCACAAGCTATTATTACCTACATCAGGTCATATGCAAAATTGGAAAATAATAAAATGTTACACACCTATGACATAGTAGTAGTACTGAAATCTGTATTCTATATTAAGTAAAATGTATTTACCAGTAATTAACAATAAAGCATTTTGCAATTTCTACTGTCTACCATATAAAAATGAACATTATATTACCCTTCCAAAATTTAGTGTAAAAAATAAAATCGTGCTGGTGGTGGTGGCTTATTTACACTTAAAAAAAGAGCATAATTTCTATTATAAATAGGAGCTAGCCTACTTATGGTGTTTCTCTTTATACCATGACTTCCAGGAAGCTCAGTGTAAAAATGAGTGCTTAATTATGGTAATAATATTGTCCTGTTTTTTTTGTACACTAACTTGTCCTCTTTTGTAGATGTTCTCAAATCCCCCTTTCGTCTTTACTTGAACTTTTCCATAATTATGTGCATTTGTGTTTCTATTGCAAGCTATCTCAAATTGTTTTGGAATATAGATTATGAACAAATAAACATAAGAACAGAGTTCAACCAAGCCAGTTGCGGCGGTTCATAATACTAGCACTTTGGGAGGCTGAGGCAGGCAGATTGCTTTAGCCCAGGAGCCTGAGACCAGCCTGAACAACACAGCAAGATCCCTTCTCTACAAAACATACAAAATTTAGCCGGGCATGGTGGCATGTACCTGTAGTCCCAGCTACTCAGGAGACTGAGGTGGGAGGATCACTTGAGCTTAGAAGACGGAGGTTGCAGTCAGCTGAGATCATGTCACTGCAGCTCCAGCCTGAGCTGAAGAGTGAGACCCTATTAAAAAACAAACAACAATAACAAAAAACTCAACCTAAGTGAAGATAGATGTGTACAAGAAAGACTTTTGAGGTGTTCCCAAAATTCTGCCACATGAACTGCTGTGAACTGCAGCTTGCTTCAGTCTGCCCCTCTCTGGAACCCACCCAGAGGCTCTGATGTTATGTGTCTGCATAACAAGGCTGAAGACCCATCTTGTCAGGAGGCGCTGAGCTGAGCTCTTTCTCTGCACACCTGCTTCTTCCTGTTTCTTCTGCTCTCCTATTTCATCTCCAAAAGATATTGTCATATGATATTCTCAACCACAGCTCCATTCATTAAATTGTACCGGATTATATATGTTTAGCTTCCTTCTTCTCCCCTGCTCTGAAGGTAGGGGTCATAGTTTTTACTGTTGTTGTTGTGCTTGTTTTTAAAATTCAGATAGTGTTCAGTTCCTAGAAGGTACTCAATTAAAAAAAAAGTGTGTGTGGTGGGGGGGATAGGTGGTGATGATGTGTTTTCAATACATATAAAATGTATCTTGTAGATACAAAGGAACTCCAGAAAGAAGAGGGGGGAAAAACACTCAGGAAGAAATGAGGGGGAAAAATAAAAGCAGAAGAGAAGAAAAAGTGGGAAGGCAGTTAGAAGGAAGTGGAGGAAATAAAACAAAAACAATCGCAAAGGAGCTCATTAGAAAGGTGGAACTGGCAGCTAGCGAGAGAGCCAGCCCCGACCTCCCACAGCACACACCAGCACAGATCTGGCTGCAGGTACAAGCACAGGAAGAGCTTCCTAATCTGAAACAGGGAATCCCACGTCAGCCGTGGGAGTCAGGCAATAATAACTGACTAGGGAATCTGAAAAGGTGACCAGCAATATTTTATAAAACTTCCCTGTCTGTAGTTAGAACCATTCCTTATTCATTGAACATAACTTAATAAGTCACCTTTCCAAAATTAGGGAGTCCTCGCATTACAAACATTCCACCATATATAACTATATATTGTGATTCCTACAAAATTTAACGGACGTCAATGATAATTCAATCAATACCCCGCCCCAGAACTCACTAGAATTGTCTCTCACCCCCCAAGTGTGTTTGGGTAAATAGAAGGCTGAACTTTTCCAGCCTCACATGCACCCTGACTTTAGAGCTACCAGTGAAAACTGACTCTGAGACTGAATTTTTGTCCTATCTTGCACATAGGTCTTTTGATAATATCTGTGGATTCTGCATTATCTAAAAATAGGTTTTTGAGAGCTATTTTATAACAATAATTTTTGCACTATGCTTGCATCCTTTTTGTGAGAATTTACCCTACTCTTTTATTAAAATGTGCAGACTCAATGACTGGCACCCACTGGTGGGATATGGTTTGTATTGCAGCTGATTCTAAGTAACATTTGTCATTGTCAATATCTCAGCAATAACCTTTATAAAAACCCGAGTATTTTGTAAACTATAAAATATGCATAATATTATGCACTTAAGGAGCAATTTTGAATTATTATTTTACAACCACAACTAGTATTCAAGATTATAGAAGAGGAAATTGTTATCCTATCACTTCCCCTTCATAATTCTAAAGTTAAGTGATGGTTCCATGAATTCAAGGAAAGAAATTCAATCATCACAGGAGATATGGAAATCTCCTGTGCTAGATGCAATTTGTTGAAGAATGTTCATTTTAAATTCAAAAAGCAGAGATGCATTTGAAGGTGATGATGTTCCTCAGACACATACATGGGCCTTATGATGGCATCAAACGCCTCACAGTAGCCTCAGATGAAAGCACATTGGTGCTTCTTCCATCTGACCAGCCCGCTGTCCTTGATGAAAAATTACCTTCACTGCCCATCATGTTGTTAGTGGTTAAAACTTACCATTTAAATTGTAAGCTGCAAAATCTAAATGGAACTGCATGTGTGATCTTTGTCACCTCATTTTCATGAATGGAAAAGAATATTCTGACATAAAAATTACATACTTAATTCCAGCTCACCTTCTCTGCTGACCTCCATCGCACACTGCCTTGGGTTTATTTCCTCATCCATCAGTGGGTCAAAGTAATTTCTGCCGTATTCATTTCCTGTGGAAAGTACACGAGGTAAGGGTCAGTGATTATTAGAAGCACATGAACCAAAATGTTAATTTTGAAATCGACACCGGCAAAGAAGGACCATTTTAGCTCTTTTATAAGCTTAATTTTTTTACAAGTCTTCCAGGCCTCCCTTTTTTATAATTATCATCTTGCAAAAGGTCAGAAAAGGTAACTCAAGAAACAAGTTCATGCTATCTTTCTGTTGCTAAAAGTTAATGAGAAAATTACCAAACATAGACTTTAGAATAATAATAAAAAAAAACTTAAGCCAAACTATTTTTAGGATACACTCATGAAATGGACGTAAATTATAATGATGTGTAGAGCTCACTGATGATTATATTTACTAACTGATGTTTCACTAAGTGTATCATGTTGTTGTGTCCAGAATTCCACAGGCAATTTAGTACTATCTTAATTATGAAAAACTAAAGCAGAATGTACATGTTGCTAGTTGGGTGAAAAGAAAGAAAGAGAGAGAAAGAGAGAGAAAGAAAGAAAGGGAGAGAAGAAGGGAGAAAACTAGGAAGGAAGGAAGAGAAAAGAGAGAGGCTTGCTTATAGGTCTTTCTTATGTCAACTTCAGTAACATGAAGGGAAGGTACAAATGATTTAGCCAGAAATTTATTCCACACACATCAACAATCTCAACATCACTAAGCAAAATTTCTCACATCACGTCTTCCACTTACTCTGTCCTTATCTTCATGACCAAACTGTAGCATAAGGTATAACTTTGTAATAGAGAAAAAGGTCTGCTATTAATTTTCCAAATCTAGTTTCATACTTCCTGCAGACTGAAATGTATATGTCTGTTGCTACTAATTTGCATTCAGCAAAATGTACCCTACTCTGACGATAATTCAAGTTGCCTCAAACACTGCAAAAATAAAGCCTTGTAGAATGAAAACAACAACTTTGAAAGTATGGCTCACAGGGAAGGGTTAATCCATACCAGATATACTGTGGTATTCTTTAGTATATTTATTTTAGGATCAAAAGTAATTCAAACAGCAGCTCCTTTTCCAAGGCTAAATGAAATTTTGATGTGAACCTAGGTTTAATTTCTATTTCTGGGCTGACACATTTTTGTGTCAGTCTCTGTTCTATCAATGCAGTAAGTACAAAAACTGAAAATCTGCTTTACCTTGAGGTCTCAATAAGGAAAGAATAAATGAGTTTCATTTTTGTTACTTTATCTGTCAACAACTTCTAGGCTGATATGAATCTTGGCAATATGTAATCAAAGTCTTATATACTGCAATAATAGCATTCTTCCTCATTCACTGTAATTTTTTTATATTTTTCTTCTACCACAAATCACTGTGATACTCTATGCCCTTCCATATGCTCGTAAAATAATCCACCTATATTGGTACAAGCATGGTATCATAGTCCTTATACTATCAGTCAACTACAGGTACCCATAGTCTGGAAGCTTCTCCAACCCAATACAAAACTCAAATTATTTGTCTTCTATAACTGACTAGTAAATATTACCAAGATAATCAAGACCGTGGAGAGTGAAAAAGGTTAAGTCATCTTTAACCAAAAGTCTGGAGTGGTGCATTTCGTTTTTAGATTCTCAAAACCATTTGCGTCTCTGTTGTCAGTGAAGACATTGGGGTCTCGCCCAGCTGCACATGAAGGAGGCCTGCGGGCTGGGAGCCTTCCAGACCCCGTCTCCCTTCAGGGCTCGATGCCTCCACAAGCAACTGGAATCAGGGCCCTGTAAGGTCTATACAAAGTGTTCCCTCTGCATTTCACGTGGGCTGATGTACACGTGTTAAGTTACAAATGCCACTCCTCGAGGGATTCATTTTGTGTTTCCCATTCTGGGATCCCATGTACAGCATTTTACGAGGAAAGAATTCTGAGGTCTCTTGAGCAAAGAGACAGCTTTGACACTTAGTTCTGAAATCCTTTAAACATCCCCAAGTTCTGTACTGTAATACATATCTGGAATTCATGTATTTTTATAATTTATACACATTTTATATTAATTTTACATTCTGTTAAGCATTGTTTTACAAACAGTATTATACTGAACTATTGTCTGTCTTCCCCACTAAAATATAACCTCTATGAATGCAAAGACATTATCTCTTAGCTCACTTCAGCACCCTCAGCGCCTAGAATATTACCTGGCTTAAAATATGATCTGAATTCCTTAAATAAATGTCTCTTGGAAATCTATTGTAATACCTTAATTCTTTCATTGGCTAGATATTCTCTCTTGATTAAAACAAGCAAGAAATTATCACCTTTTATTCCTATTTTTTTCTATTCCCCCTCCCATCTCTCCTCCGTATCATCACCACCTACCCACCCCACTTTTCTTTTTAATCGAGTACCTTCTGGGAACTGAGCACTATCTGAATTTTTAAAACAAACACAACAACAGCAATAAAAACTATAACCCCTGCCTTTAGAGCAGGGGAGAAGAAGGAAGCTAAACATATATAATCCGATATGATTTAAAGAATGGAGTTGTGGTTGAGAATATCAGAGAAGTATCTATACCATAATGGGGGTGTCAAAGAAGACTTCGTAGAAGAATGACTACTGGAAATAAGTTTTTGGAAAGGTAATTAGGAATTAGCCAGTCAGAAATACAAAGAAAGAAGTTTTTGACAGAAGGAGCCATCTGGGCAAAGGAGAAAAGACTCAAGGGCATGAAGTCATGGGAAGCACAATTTGTTAGTAGATGTTTCTCAATTTTTCTCAACCTCCTAAAGTTACAATGTAATAAAGTGAATAATGGAACCCAAACTTCTTCACTAGGCCCAGAATCAACATTAACTAATGTTTTTGCTCAAATTCTTATGCAGTGTCACATTCTGATGTTTTATTATAATTCATTTACTCAACCAATACTTACTGAGTGATTATTATAGGACTATAGCAGTAAAATGAAATACTTAAAAATCTCTCTCCTCACAGAGCTTACATTCTGTGAGTTGAAGAACAAGCACAATAAATACGTATATTTCATAATTTATTAGATAGTGAAAAGTAGTGAGAAAAAATAGTGCCAGGTAAGGATGGTCCGACTCCAGGATGGGGTGGGGGCTGCATCTCTTGCCTCTACCTTTATTTCAAACAAAGGATGCCACTCAGGTTTAAGCCACTATGCTTTCAAGACAATTGAGAAAGTAAAGCTATAATGTATTGGTTATTATTTTTATAAGTTTTTATTCTTCCAATTGCTTGCTATAACATAAATCAGTCTATGAATCAAATAAAACACACCCTCAAGTATTAAAATGATTATTCCTTTCTATTGCTATTCCTTGTTTTAATAAACCAGTAATTTAAACACAGCAGGTAGAATTTAGGAGAGTAAACACATGGAACCTGTTATAAATTTAGAAACAATGGACTCCATCATAACAGTAGCCCTTTGGCTGTCTTTCATTGGGTGGTGTCAGGATTTAATAAAGTGGGATGGTATTAAGTGGGTGTATACTACCAGAAGGTAGATTGCTAATAGAATCAATTCCTAAAGTGTCCTAATCATTCAGAGTATGCTTTTGGATATATCTAAAATCATCTCACAGGAAAATGAACAGACCCACTGAGAAATTCAAAGTAGGGCATTTAGCAATACAAATACAATAGATTTTAATATGGCTGATATTAACTCCTTGTAATATTCAGATGAATATATGCCAATCATATGTGTGTGTGTGTACACATATATATGTTTAAGTATGGTTCTATGTTGAAGCAATCAGATGTGATATATAAACCAATAAACCAGTAAATTTGTCTTGTCAATATTCTTGATACTCTATTTTTGCTTCCAACTTCCTAGTATCAGCTGCTTAATGTATAGAATTGCATTAGTTAATTCATTTCTTATGCTATCTTTTTTTGAACTAGGAGAGAAAAACACACGCACTTGCCTTCTGCTCTTCCACACATATCAGGTTTTCCTATCATTTAACTCAGAGCAGCACAGAACATAATCAGGGCTTTTACTTAAATTACACTGTACATGAACTTTGGTCAGAAAACCCTCTAGTGTGCACCCATGCAGTTCCCTGGGGGCTATAAGAGTGAGAATGAAATTGCCCACCAGAGGAAGCTTAGTAACAATCATGAAAGTGTCTTGACTCAACGAAGCAATCACTTCCTTTCAAATCAGCTACATTAGCTAGAGAGGAAGAAAAACCTAATGTATCTGTGTGTTTCTCAGTTTTTTTGTTTTTTTTTTGTTTTTTTGTTTTTTTGTTTTTGGCGCCATTCTTGTTCTTTTCCTGTAAATCACCTGCTTCAGCTCAGCTTTTCCTCACCGATCACTGTGTTTTCTATAATATACCATAAACTAAATAACTGAACAATGTATATTTTATTATTACAACCATGCACCAAAATTTTACTACAGAGGGCATTCTCTTGAACAGTATGCTTTTTAAAGGCATAAAGCCTGGAAAAATAAAATTAAATTTGTTTCTACGAACTTTATATATAAATTTGAGAAAACTTCATATATTTCCACTTTAAAATCCAATACAAGTATCTCTAGCTTAAATGTCCAAGGGGCCAGGAAGTCCACAAAAATATTTTTAAAAATGTAGAAATCAGGGGACTACACTAGAATATAGGGGACTAGGAACAATGTGAAACTCGAACCCACTGTACCATACTAAATTCCAAATACTATTTTTATAAAGTTGATTTGCAAATGGTTTTCAAATAAAAGACAACTTAAAATACAAGAATATTTCTTAATGATAAAAATAGTTAAACTAAGTCTTCATCGTACTAAATGTCAAAACAAAATAACAAAAACAATAAACAACCAAAAAATCGCTATCTTTTTTTTTTAATTTAAGTTCTGTAATACACGTGCAGAACATGCAGGTTTGTTACATAGATATATGTGTGCCATGGTGGTTTGCTGCACCTGTCAACTAGTCATCTAGGTTTTAAGCACTGCATTTATTAGCTATTTGTCCTGATGCTCCCCCTCCTAGCACCCCG